CATTCCACAGCGAACTGTAAATGCAGAGATCTATAGTCAGCAATTGTAACGTTTAAATCAAGCCCTTCATAAGAAACGCCCTTCACTCGTCAAACGGAAAGGTGTTCTTCTTTTCCACGACAATGCCCGTCCACATGTGGCACGTTTGACGCAACACAAGATTATAGAGTTGGGTTGGGAAGTTCTCCAGATATGGCACCATCAGAGTACAATCTTTTTCATTTGCTGCAACACCATCTTAATCGGAAAACGTATGCAAACATTAAATTATTGACGACATAATATATATTTTTGTAGTTCTTTAACAATTCAATGCCATAAAACTTCTGAATTAAACTATTTTGCTGTTATATCATCCTTTTTATTCGAAAAATAAAGAATAAAAAAACCTTCCCAACAAATCAACATGAATGTGAGAGGGTGAAAGTTTTATTGCTAAGTGACGATGTATATTGTTGAGCATTACGAAAAATGAGCGTTAAAGCGTTCTCGACAGGGTGACAAAGTGAATAAGCCTTTTATTATTAGTGAGTGATATCTTATGTATTAATTCGTTATGTGAGTTCGTCCACGAATTCCTCTCACAGTATTGGTGCTAGCAGGACCAAATATGTCAAACGAACTCGGGATGGCCCGGTGGGGGTCCTTATGTATATGGTTACCAAGGGAGGCTAAAACTCCCACGGAAAGCTATCCAGGCAAGATGAACGTCTAGATGTAAGATATCAGGGTCCTTAAACATGAATCTATTTCATATTTTGTGTTACATTTCCACTCTAGATCCAGAGGGTGCCATGTTTGAAGTGTGTCCATATCCTTACTTACAGGGTAGCGGGACAAAACACGTCACTCGTGGTCAGGTACCAAGGGCGGATGTCTGTATTATTGGTCTTAACCTATAATGGGAACTCTATAGAAGTAATTAGGGATAATGAAATAGCTTCATCAGTACACTGGAGCCTCTATGAACCACGAAGGAGCTTTTGAACTCCGAAGCAGATCGCGGATATTCTATGCACATGGACCAATTTCTTGACATAAAACTGAAGTTGAGGCTAAAAACCTGATAAAATATTGTGAAACATGTATCACTGCGCCCAAACTTCAGTACACGAACAATACATTTGAAATCTAATCACTTTTTCCAAAATATTAAAACTTCGTATGTTTATTTTATGATGTAAAAATAAGATTTAGAATTATTTACAAAAAAAACAGTAATGTACATTAAATAGCAATGAAAGTAAATAACAATAAAATTCGGTAAAGACGAATCTTGTACAACTGTAAACAAAAACATTTTCAGCACAATTTTTATCAATAAAATATTATCAGCTGAAGAAATACTTTTTCAAACGACGCTCACGACAGTGTTGCGCGTGATGCGTTGCGTGACACAAGCTAAATGAAATCTTGTGTAGAAAAAGAACAATAAGAATGTGAACTTTCAAAGAAATCATCAATAACTGAATCGGAAAAACAGAAAGCCAGAAGAAAGACCTTTAACCTTTTAGGAAGGAAAAGTTTCAAGTTTGATGAGAGGAATCATAAGTTGTTTTGGTGGTTGTGCGGTAGTGAATAATACTTATATGGTAAATACTATATAATTAAGTTTACAGCTTGGCTAGTTTTTCAGACATTTAATTTTGCCTAAACAAGGTGTTGTCACTAATATGATCTAGACGTTTTAATGCACAGTATAGACAATGTGATGGGGGCCCTCTTGTGTTTAATTCTGGTTTTGTAATTTATGTTTCAGAGTCTGATAATTCTTAAATCATATTACTATTTTATAGAATTTACTCCGATTTTTATTTTAGGTTATGTAGACTAGAAAATTGATTGGAAAGTTTACTTCTATATTCGTCCTAAACGTTAAAAAGCTTTCGAAACATTATTCAAAGCGTTTGAGCTGATGCTTAACACCACGGAACAAAGGTATTATTACATCTAGTGTAAACAGGGGTTATATTTCATACGCGGAACTCTAAAGCTACTCTGCAGACTTACAACGCTAGAATCCGGGTTTCGATACCCGTGGTGGGCAGAGCACAGTGTGTTGCTTTGTGCTTAACTTCAAACAAACAAACAATCCTAAAGCTACTGAAGTGGTTTCCAAGCGTTCGTTCTCGGAATAATATCATTAATGTGTGTCTATTTCCTCGCCAACCAATTAAAATTTTCTATTGTATCAACACGTCTTTTAGATATAATTAATTAAATTTAAACTAGAACCACAAAATGTTTATGTTTATTTCGTCACAACTTTTTGACGCTAACGAAATCAGTTAAGTGAATATGAGTGTCTAAAATTTACAAATTAATAATAAATTATCAAGAAATGCGTCAAACTGATGATATTTCGCATAGAAAGTTTGTTTTGTGCTCAAAATCACATAATGGGCTATCTACTCTCTGTTCGCCTCGAGGAATCGAACCCCGGATTTAAGCGAAGTCATTCTATAAACTTACCACTAACTCATCGGGGACCATATTCAAAGACGATGGCATTTTACCCCAGAAATAACAATAAGTGCGTGACAATGTTTAACATATCATCAGAATAGCTAATAAACCGAATGAATGATGTCAATTTTATTGTTTTTAAATGTAGAATAAAATGAACAGAAATTTATTAAGTTAATCAATTATCGTATTCCTAATAAGGTAATGGTAATATTTGCTAAAGTAAAGAACTAGCGACTGGTCAAAATGGATATCATCATGGTTCTGTATTATAGAACACTCGGGGAACAACACATCCCAAGAAACCTAGTTTCGTTTCATACAGAGCGTAAAGGCCTGAGTATTTTGTATCTTTTTTTTTCACCGCTAGGTTCCTTTTAGTATTCTAATGATTCAGAGAAGAGAAATGCTACTACTTTACCTTATAGTACCTCAGTACTGGAGTTGCTAATTACGAAACTTAATTAAAACAAACACGTTTTATAAAAATATTGTTCTAGGAAACTATAATTTTTGTACTTCTGACGAAATAAATAATTTGTCTGCAGGCAGTGGACCACTTTGCACACTTGCGATCACGTTTGTTTAGCCTCATATGTTTTTAGATTTTCTGTGTGGTAAGATCAATAGTCACCTAACACAATTTACATCATACATCTAACTGCATTCGTTAACACATACATTCGTGCTAAAAAAAAGTCGTGATGATTATGTTTTTATTATATTTGTATTACTTTTGTAACATCCACACTTCTGTAGGAGAACCTGCATTGTTTTGAATTCAAATATATATATATATATAAGCATAAGCATGAATTATCTGTGACCTCATTTGTTTATTTATGTGCAGATAAACCAAAAGTTGACATAACCTTAGGACTAAACCAAGATTCCTGGATGGTGACAGAAGGCAAGGATATTCACCTTCAATGTCAAGTGGACGCCAATCCTTCCGTAACCCGTAGCGGATGGTATTTCAACGACCAAGCTCTACAAAATAATGTAGTGCAGGGAGTTATCATAAGTAATCTCACGTTGATGATCCAGCGAGTGCAGCGCCATCACACTGGTTATTACCGATGTTTTGCAATAAACATCGAAGGAAGAGGCGAGAGTAATAATACATTAATTAAAGTAAAATGTGAGTATATCTTTCTTACATTTTTATTTTTCATTATTTAGCAAACACATAGATTTTGGGAACAACAACAACAACAACAAAAAAGAACAAACTAGATAAGCCCATATGACAACAAAACATTATTTACATCACAACAATGGTAATTTATTTATGACAATATTTTTGCTAAAGCGCCTTAGAGAAAGAATCAATAGATTTTTCTATACATCGTGTAGCTTAATCTTAATCGGTTTTAAAATAGATCTACAACTATGCCTTTAAAATAATTAAAATATACTTTAAGACTATTTGTAACAACATTAGAAACTTATTAGAACCATCAAATTTGAATCTGAATAAAGCCTTGGTTATTAAAATAATCAAATCTCAGTCACACAATGATCCTTGACAATTAAAACTGTTAGATTCCTATCAAATATAAGTTACATTCCAGCCTTGGTTACACAAAATGTTAAATTTAAGATCAGCGAAGAGTCTTGGTTACACCCAAAAGTCGATAAGTTTCAGTCCAACGACACGCCCTGGTTACTAAAACCATTAAACCAGTAATAAGCAGAGCACAGTCAATGTTTTCTGTCCCCTTTTAGCGCCAGGGGAATGTTGTCATTTTTGTCGCTAGAATTTCAAAACTTTTCGCTGGTGGTTGGAATTTGTTGTTTAGGAAATTGCGTGTAATCTTCGTTAGAAAATCAATCAGATAACCATTATTTAAGATGTGTTTATGTAGAATGATAATTTCTTCGTGTAAAATAAAATAATTAGAACAAAAATTTAAAATTCTCTTCAACAATGATATAACCATAATATGTTTGAAGAAGTTGGAGATAAAACTATTGAAATTGGTGTAAAGGCCAGTAAAAGTTCTTTTGTGATAAACAGAGGGAGAAAAGTTTTTACTTTTTTTGGTGATCCTGACGTCTAGGAGAGTTAAAGAATCATTTTCCTCAAGTTCGGATGTGAACTTGATATTGAAGTGTTGAGAACTAAGGTAAAAAAGGAACTTGGAAACGTGGCTTGATTGTCAAACCAGCAAGAAAGTGTCATAAATATAGCGTTTGTACAGAACAGGTTTGAATTCACGTGGGCTGTCTTCTAGCTACTTGTGTTCATGATAGCATAGAAAACTACTGGCTATCGTCGGACCCAGTGGGGTCCCACGGCGATTCCATCTACTTGGTCATAAGTTACGTCAGCTACACAATAGGCTAGCTGTTATATGCCGACCACAGGTATCGAAACCCGGTTTGTAGCGTTGTATCTCCGCAGACATGCCGCTGTGCCATTGGGGGGCCGCCAATCAAGGTGAAAACACTCTTTATTGAATATCAGCACACACAAAAATTAAAGAGTAGACTGCACACTAGACTAAGTTGCTACTTGTTTCAAAACAAGACATTTCTGCTGTAGTTGAATGACGGAATGCCAACCTAACGATATCCATAACCCCCTTGATGAAACTTTAAATTTAATCGTGGACCTTCGCTTTCCTACTGACACTGAACAGCATCTTGGTTTCACCCGTAAACAATTCCTGGAACTTCTTGTCCTCTCTAAGAAGTTAAACCATTTCCTCTTTGATTTGTGCTTAACTACAAATATACAACAACAACTTTGTTTGGACTGTTTCCTCAATTCAGTCAGAAATTCGAAATTACATAACATATTATGCCTGTTATTTTGAGATTACTTTACTTTTTCTTAACGGGAAATCAGTGTATCATAAGTTCCAGCCCAACAAGACGCCTTAAAAATTAAGACCTTTAAATTCCAGAACAACAAAATCTCCAGTTTTTAAAACCCACATATTCCTATCTAACGAAAGCGTTAGCTATTAAAACAGTTAAATTCGAACTAAACAAAATGTCTTGCTTATTAAAACTTTAATTCAAATCCAATAAAAGCCTTGGATAGTAATACGGCTAAATTCCATTGAAACAAAAGATTTCTTTATTAAAACGTTCAAATTCTAGCCCAACCAAACGCCTAAATTACTAGAACTGCTAGAACTGCCTATCAAAATGTTTTGATTATATTTGTTTAGGATATTAGAACCAGGCTAAACAGTGACTACCTCTCCAGTAGTGCTTTGTGAACTAATACATTAGAGAGAAGGCGACTAGTCATCAGCGACCACCGTTAAATCTAGGGCTACTGAAGAGTGGGATATGACTCTTATAATGTACCAACTGTAAAATGCGGAGCGCGATTTTGCGGCAATTGGATCCAAACCATAACCCTTTGGATTCAAGTCCGACATTCTTATATTAACCTATCGTTAAATTCCAGTAAAAAAACAACAACTTTAGTTATAAAAACTGTTGAATTACTGTTTAACAAAATCATTTGGATGTAGTTGAAAACACGCTGTAATAGTTTATTTTAATTTTTTGAATAATCTGACAGCTAAACTATGATGCAGAAAAATGAAAAAAACAACAACAATTAATTGGTGTGAAACAAAAATTACCTACCATAGGGTATTCTTATATTTTCACGTAACGTCATCTCTTGACAATTTAATCTATAAACTAATAACAGGCCTAGCATTTGTCCTAAAATCATGTTGGACTACAGACATTTACAAGGCTTCTCCAAATTTCAGATTTATGAACCGAAAATAATAATAATACATTATTACTTAACTTATTTTATCGAAAGTCTTTCTAATCTGGTATTATATAGATTAGCAAAGCTTCAAAATTAAAACGAATAATGGAATAACAATAGTAGCTTTATTTTCTCGTATCAATGAGATTACCTTGTTCAAATTGCTGTAAAAATGTTTAATTGTAACTTGAAACTGCGAAGTGAAAATCTGTTGTAGAGAGGTGGGAGCCCTCTTTCTTCTCATAAATAGAGATAGAAGTAGTTGAATGGATAAATTTTTAATATAAGAAGATTTCATATCATTAGTGTGTTGTTTTTTCTATAATTTTTATTTTGCGTGCACATCTGAAACGTGATGATTAGGAATGAATCTCTTGAGAGCGGTATACTTATTACAAGGTTTACGATGTCACGTAGTCTCTATTTCTGACGGTCTCAGTTGTAATATGCCACCTACCTTTCTCTTTCATGATATTAGAAAATTCTAAAAAGTAGGTACAAAATACATTTCGGGTAATATATATGTATATTACTTTTCGATTTTAAGTATACTCAGTAATTTGCATAGATAGATAGAATTCTTACCTTAACTCCAGTGTTTATCCGATGAATCAAGTAAATTCTTATGTATGTCATAATTTATATACATAGCTACATGTGAATAGAAAATGCTATTTATTTTAATAACTTCAACAATCTCTTTGAAATCAAACGCTTACCAATAGCTGAACGAAAGTTTAAAAACAATGGAATTAAAATCATCTTTATTATTTTTTTATATACTATTATTTATTTAGTATTTTGAACCTGAACATCACCATAAGTAACACGAGCTATCCTTAATTTAGAACTACTGACCAAAGAGAAGCCAACTAGTCAACAGCACTCGGCCATTATAAAGCTATCAACCTATTAGAGGGATTGACTGTCACTTTTATAACGTACCCAAAGCACGAACTGAGAAGCGTGTTCATCATATCGCTGGCTCAAACCCTAGATCTTCGAACAGCAGCCTAGCAAACTAACCGATAAGCCACGCCCAATCTCAGAGATACTGATTATTTTAATATATTTAGTAATAAAAACGTCATCTGTCGAAATTTTATTGCACTAATTTTATTGTTACTGTTTTCACTCTAATATTTCATGTGTAAAACACAAAAGTTCACTAATGAAAAAGAAAAGAATGCTAATTTTATCTTAGTCCAATTTGAATCAGTTGTTAAACCTGATCTCAAAAAGAAATAGAATACTGCAGTATACTTTATGTAATTGAAAAGCTATTGCAGATAAAATCCGACGAACAAGTAAAATTCCATAGAAAACTTTAGCCTAAGCTCTAGTGATAAGTTTGAAAAGTTACATTATGCATGATATTGGTTTCCGTTTTGTGTCTTCTTCTCACAATACAGGGAAGATTTATGTAGCAGATCA